CTCTCTCTCTCTCTCTCTCTCTCTCTCTCTCTCTCTCTCTCTCTCTCTCTCTCTCTCTCTCTCTCTCTCTCTCTCTCTCTCTCTCTCTCTCTCTCTCTCTCTCTCTCTCTCTCTCTCTCTCTCTCTCTCTCTCTCTCGGATATGGAGTTCTCAGAGGGAACGCGATGTTCCTGGAACTCTCGCCATCGCGGCTCTCCTCAGCCTCGGCTTCACGGTTCAGCTAACTTTCTGCCGGCTCTTATTACGAGCAGTCCAACGCTTTATCAGACTCGCGTATATACAGCCGCGCTATACTTCGTACTGCTCTTCCTGCATCTTCCCGCTATTCCTACGTGTTCCGCTACTTTGCTATTTTCCCCGAAATTCCCTTCACCTCTCTACTTCCTGCATCGAGCTAATCTCAGTTTACAAAATATTCAGGCCGAAACTTCAACACACAAGTGTAACTAAGGCGATGGAAGTATTTCTAAAATAGTCTAAATTTTAATAAGTAATTTTGTAAGCGCTAAATTTCTATCGCGTTAAACCAAAGAGCACATTAAGCGTGATAAGCGGTCTTTGGAGAGTACAATCCTTTAATTATAAATGTTACAATATTTCGAACGATTTTTATCTCAAATTCTCAAGAGCAGACAGGAATTTCGATTGCAGGTGTCATGGGCTCAGCAACCAGTAATAAATTCGACACTGACGCGCACATGAATAAAATAATGGTTTCGGTAACATTGTGATCGCTATCGGTTCGGTACCATTGACCAAATTACATGGCGCACATGCCTCTGGTAAAATTCGCTCCGGGCAACATATTGTTACGGTTTAACTGTGGTATGCAGAGAGTATATGTGTTTAAATCGTGTAAAATATCGATAACATTCATCCACACTAAAAATATTTCAAGTCGATACAAACATTTTTCGATTTCGGCAGAAAAAAAAAGGTGGAAACAATTATTATCATTTTGCAACGATAAAGTTGATGTAATTGAAAGGTATGCTGTTTATCGGCTCTCTCGATTAAATACGTTCCAAGAGAAGAAAAATCCGACAATCAAAAAATAAGACCTCTGACGCAATCGCTTATTAAGAATCGCACATGCGATGTTATTTTTATTCATCGCATTCGTTGGAATACTATCGGAACGCGGAGGGAGGGGGGGGGGAGGGAATGTTGCACAGTGGTTATTATACCAGTCACTTCCGCTATCTACCTGTGATCGCATTACGACTTGTTGACATTAATCGCGATGCAAACTTATTCGCATAAATACGCGGCTGAACGCGATTAATTAACACGCGCCGCGTAACGTTCATAGTTCACAGCTGAACGTTTTTCAAAGCGCGCATATCCACGATCATGCATTCGTGGGAAGGAACGAATATATATGGGTATCCTTTTCCGATGATGGCGCGAGCAGATACGCACGATAAGGCTTTTTCATTATAATTAGAAGCGTGAGGGTTATCGACCGCTTCAAATCGGTAATATTCGACGTAAAACAGACCTTCCGAACGGCGCCTGCTGCACCGTATAGCATCTGTAATTTACATCTACATTCGCAACATCGTCGAGACGCGTTCTATGCATTGCAGTTTGTGCGGCAGAACACAATCACCTTGCTTAGAATGTTCCAAGGCTGCATGGCGTCTCAACGAGATGGCTCAACCGAGATGCTTTGTATCAATTTGCGTGATAAGAGCACGAACGTGAAGTAAAAACCTCACAGCTTCTACCTCGTGGGAAGTTGCTAATTGTATGAATTTATCTCGAGTGAATTAGTGAAAGACACACATACAAGTGTTTCGTGAATTTAACATTGAGAAAAACAACATTCTTCTCGGCCTGTAGACAAATTGTACATAATAGCAATAAAAAAGAATCGATTTTAGATTTATCAAAAATTCGTCGATGAAATTAAGATCGCGAATTTTGAGACATTATTTCAAGAAGCAATGTTTGCATTACATTCGCTGATTTAACGAGCTTGCCGCAGTTCGTATGTCAGAATCATTATTCATGCCGCTACAGAATGACGGCTCGTGGCATCGATAAAAACGCCGATTATTGATAATCAGTTTCCGACTATTCAGCCTTGGTACATCCTTTCTAATTTATAATTGCCTTCTTGTCGGCTAATTATACAAAAAACATTTTATTTTTCATCTACTTACTTCGCGTTTAACGATAGCGATTCTTCCACAATTAATCCTTCCGCGATCGCAACGTTTACCTTGAAACGGTGGCTTTTTCATTAAAAGCCGCAATGAAATTTCCGCGAATCGACGATCCAGGGAACGACTTGGTCATTTCGATTAATAGACTCGTGAAGTCATATTAAATTGCACTTAGATCACGCGCACTTATCTTCCAAGAACAATTCTCCTAGAACTGCGTTTTAAAACGAAGCAGGGGGTTTCCTCGAACGATCCGTCGCGATTGATCTCGAGTACGATGATCCTTGTAAAAATTTTCTCGCGCAAAAGAATTTCGTTACGTCACGTTGTATTTCCACGATGAGGTATTATACACATTCGCCTTATGTAATTTTTAATTCTTTTGGCTTGATCGTTCATTCCGGGGAATAATACGTAGGATTCCAATGCAGACGTGAGAACTTCATTCCTGCTGCCGCTCATTTAAAACACAATTCACTGACAATGGATTATTTATGCGATTTAAGTAACAAGCGGTGAGCAGTAAAGAAAAGAAAATTAATATTAAGAAACTCGCTTTAACAAACTTAAAAATCAATGAAACATTAAAATAAAATACATATGTACGTTAAAATGTAAATTTTTCCAAACTTTTTGTAAACATTTGTTAAATTAATAAACAATTTTTTTAAACATCAACAAAATACTTAATGCAATTCTAATATTCAATCCTGTACTCTGTATCTAATCCAAAATTGGCTACACATAGGCGTTACTCGCTATATCCAGAAAGTGATACACTGTGATGTTTGCAAGAAAATAACAAAGTCATGACTGGCTTCGGCGCGGCGATCATAATACGTGAAAAAAACATGGGCTTTCACAAGAAACTCGCGATTAGTCAGCTTTGATCTGCTCGGCCCGATTCGACTAATAACAAAGGAATTGCGTAAACTCGAATCATTTGAAAATGTTTTCCGGGAGAGAGCAGACTGAAGAATGCCCGAGTTCAAGTCCTGGTCGAGAAATAATATTTTTTTGCATTGTTAAAAGATAATTATTTCACACACGCGCGCTGTTTGCACATATCTCAACGCTATGCTGTTAACTGTGCAAGGAAATTCATAATTAGAAACCGTTCTAATGCTTGGGCGGTACATGTTTAGCCGAAGAACTTTTTCCTCGTAATAATATAAGTTTAGAAGATTAACGTGGCGGGAGATTTTACTAGTAAGAGTAAAAAATAATAATACATTGCAGATGATTGCAGCTGTATATGCATAATGACGATATCATTACGAATGGTTAATCTATCCAATCTATCGATTCCTAGGTCTAGGTTTTGCGATCTATTTGAGAGCGCAGGCAAATGACATAAATGTTATTTTGGTTAATTAATCAAAATTTACATATTATCCTATCATAGATATTACTATAACTAATGAATAAGTATAAATAACGAATAAGATCGATGCGCAATTACGAAATTAATACACGAACAGAACTGGGTATCAATTGGTCATATTATTGACAAATCTAATGAAATATTCATTGACACAATATCACAATTAATTAAAAGTGAATATCCGCGTGCAAAATTTGCCAAATCTAAAACTCTACTAATCATCGAAATATCGATCAAAGCACTATATGCCAATGATATAACGTAATATCGCAAGCACGCAGATTGAAGAAAATGATTCCGTATCACTCTGCACGTTAGCATGGAACGTTAGCATGGAAAAAAATTTTACGCCGCAACGAGTGCGCTTGTGGTGGCGTGCGAGTATGTCGTTTCTTTCTTCGCGGAACACGCGCGCGTTAATGAGGAAAACAAGAGTGCAAGCAATTTCCATGAAAGTTGAGAAAAGATGTTGTTTTGCAACGCAAATATCTCGACTTCCTTGATCAAAAGCCAACAAGAGTCAAGGTAACGATAATTGTTCCTTCATATCTCTTTCTAATTGCTAAGAATAAAAATAATCCGCTTAGAATTACGTATATTAACCGCCTCTAAAGATACATTTCTTAATTTATAATTATGATATTATGGAGGATATATTTCAAGGAAACGAAAAAAATATAAAAGATAATTCACATCTTTTGTAATTCTTAATAGGGATCAAAATCCAATTACATTGGAGAACGATTCATTAGAGAAGAAAGGATTGACAACGAGCAACCTGCGTCGGTAATTATTAAATGGAATTTCGAGATGTATCTAATCATCATTTAATAAATCATTCGTATCAACTGCGCATACGACAACGCCGCAAAACCGAGATAAGAATACAAAATAGAACGGCATGAATAATTGTAAGATTTATGTGCTGATGGTAGAGCTTCAGTGCGCGTGTCTATTATATACGACGCATGACATCGTTTTAAATTTTTTATTGGGTTTCGCGATAATATATCTTTCAGTAATTTTATATTCGCCAAAAATTTTGGAAAAATAAATTTATTTTGTTTTTGGGATGTTCAGTTCAAAATTTGGGATAAATTTTTAATTCATTACAACCATTCCATAAGCGTGGATTTATCTTTCTATCGTATCTAATTAATTAACAGAGAAATATCATTCGATGTGTACAACGTGTATTTTATCTTGCGTGAAGCAATCGCGAAGTATGAGATAGTCTATCATCTATATAATAGGATTACTTACTAAGTGGCAATATATGCGAATATCGTACAATAGTCAATTCGCTTCATAAACTGCGTCTACGCACACTTGAGCGCACCTCAGGTGGTAATCGATCTATAGTAACGTGACGTACAAGAATAAAAAAAAATAAAAAATAACAGTTGCGGCAAAGAGAAAAAAACTCATAAAACCATCGAAGAAACTATTGAATGTAAATGTTACACGGTAGTGCTATTACGAAACGCACTTTGTAAGTGCGATCATAATACGCACCTAAAGTGTGTTATGAATGCCATTACGAGTGTTCTGGCATACGGAATTAACTGCGGTTACTATAAGTGCAAGTGTCATAGACAAATACAAAATAACGGTGTAACGTCGATTGCTTCATTTCATGTCAATAATTGCGCGCTACTTATTCAGACGCAAAGCAAATGCTATTAATTGCGGTTAATAAAAAATAACGCAGCAAAATTTTATGCACTAATTAATTGCGGTATATTCATTCCCGCCAGAGTTAATTAATTTAAATCGTAATATTCCAGACGTAAATAATCTGGAAATTTCTCAAAAAGCAATTGTCTTCGCGTTCCAGATTGCATTTCTTAAAGTACGAATGCTGTCACATTTTGCACACGCTGCCATTCGGAAAATTAGCCGCGATTAACGTAAGCGGAAATATCGATAAAGTACGTGCGATGGGCCGCGTGTCGCATCATAAATAAAGTCGCCGACACAAAATTGAAATCTCAGTCTTCAAACTCCAACGAGTTTGGAGCGGCGCCAAACCGTGCGGCGCCTCGATTTTATATTACATCGGAACGTTTACTACGTCCTATCTCACGCGATTATGTACTCGCCACTTCAGTCTATCACTTTGGCGGCTATATTTCCCACTTTTCTGAATATCAAATTATAAATATAGAATTGTCCTAAAATTTAAGAAACTAATTTTGTATATTCCATTACCCTAATCGACGCTGAAAAAACTTTCTCCTATCAATCGTACATATTAAAATATTTCTTAATTCTCTTTGTTATCTGAAGAATCAACTCTTAATAATTGCGACTTTCTTTTATTTTCTAGAACATGCAATATGATCATCGTCGTATCATTTGCGCATCCCGGTGCAGCGCAAAAGGCGCGCAAAGTGCAGCGCAGATAACTGTATACACAAATTCTAACTGTAAATCCTGAGCGTTCCTGGATGCATAACAACTAATTGCCGACAATATCTAGGTTGTTTTCTGACCAGCCAAGATTTTACGAGCCGCAAGAGGTCGTAAAATCGCAGCTGTTTACTTTACCATTAGCGAATTATGACAAGAGAGAGAGAGATGGTGTTAGTCATAAAAATGTTAAATATTTTAAAATTCGCTCGGATATTTCAAGGTAGTTTTTCGAGACAAAATAGTATCTTTGATTTTAGAAGTTAGTGGAGAAATAAATATGATAAAATTATAACAAAGTTTTCCTCAGTAAATTTTTTTCCAGACAAATTTAATTATAAATAATCTAATATTAAAAATTAGAGAGCCTTTGCAAATAAAAATATGTCCACGTAACAGAGGACTGCTCTTCAAGGACTAATTTTAAATAACTTTTATAAGAGAAATTTAACTTGCAAAAGCACATGCTAATTTGTTACAAACCCTCTTTTCGGCCCCGTAATTCCTATATAATTAATTTCGAACGCAAACTTCCGCACACAAAGAACATCATCTTTGAAATTGATGAATCAAACGTCTAATTAATAACGCGCCTCTTCCGAGCCTTCTCTTATCCGAGCTTCACGAAAATCAGATTCAAGGTTGAGTACTCGTGAATCTGAATATCGCGAAACCAGTCGCGATCCCATTAATTCTGCGGTATCAGATAATTCAGATGAAAGGAGCAAGGGGAACAAGAAAACGTACACCACGACATGTCGTTAGCATTAAGGAAGGGTCTGCTCTCCTCTTTTTCGCTCCCTTTTACGGAGGGAAGAAATGAGAGAGCAAGGCGACACCGCTGCCGACTCGAGAGGACGGCGAGCTAATGATTATGTATGTATATATATTATATATATATATAATCGACGATCCAACATATATTAAAATAGACACCGAGTATAGGATCACGAGCGACGCGATGCATGAGCGGTAGTCACGATTTGGAAGTTTGTCAAAGTTCAGTCGTTCGGACCGCACGGACAAACGACCAGCATCGACGAACCACCAGGAAGGATGGAAATAGGCGATTAGGCAGATGTGATCAATTTGGAAAATCTCCCATCACTGGATATGTACGCGATTCTCTTTATTATCTACGATTGCGAAACCGATATTTCGATATTTGTATAGCCAACGAAAACTTTTAACTTGGAATAATACTACATAAACATATTAAATTAAAAATTATCTACATTGACGCATGTATATTAATTTAGGTTTTACTGATCTTCAAAATTTAGCGATTTGTTTGCGAAATTTGAATAATATATAATTCTGTCCAAAATTACAAATAAACCTAAATGCAAGATTAATACACGACGACATTAAATTCATCAAATAATTAAACATTCTAAAATGTATAAATGTATAATTAATTCTAATCCTTCATATAATATATATCAAAATATTAAATAATATTTTTAGAATCAACATTTTACACAAAATACGTATATTTTCTCTAAACTTTCTTTCGACATTTCAATAAATAATAAAAATGGTTAAAAAAATTAAATAAAATTAATTTTTTGTCTATAATATTACCATAATTCCAAATATCTCGTACATAAATAACTCGAACGCCAGTGTGTCCAAATTACATTAAAAAATTTTTAAAATGTGCCGTCCTTTTTTTTGCGTTAAGCAAGTGGCGTCAAGACAATATTTTAAAGTATCTACGTAAAGAGCAAGAGACGTACGCACTATTCTTGGCAGGCAGTTATCATCTGTCATCGCCGCTGAACTGCTACACACTCAAGCGTTGAATTTAATTTATCGCTTGCGTTTAGGAGGAGTAACATTAATTTACTGTGCTTACTAGAGTGCTTGCCAAAGGATCAAGTGTTTAAACTCTGCAATAATATGTTACAATGGATTAAAGAAGACACGCAAAATTTCGCGATTTATCAAAAAATGATAACTCGTATACCGACTTCACTACAAAAATTGTATAGATCGATCGTTAACGATCGATCTCGCACAGTTGGATACGGCGACTCCGAAAATACGCGGGCCTTCGTAACGTATTCATTATCTGATGTATCACAATAATGAATGCAAATGACTTCGTCTCTTGATTCATCGCGCTTTTGACGGTAGCAGCAGAAAAACAAAGAGATTTTTGCGAGAGATAGTATTTTGAGAATCTCGTAAGCCATTAAATCACCCGATACTTTGTTAGCGGAATTCTCCTGCGTCAATTTCTTTTCGTACGTGACATATAAAGTGGAGTCGGCTAATTCAAGCCTTTTTTCCGCGAATCTACATAAAGATGGTCTTGTACGGTTCGCCGTTCGCGCCGTTCGATACTACGCGCAGCGAGCAGCGAGAGAAATTATTTTGAGTGCATTACTCATGGTGCATCTGCTTGAAATAATTCGTAGGAATTACGTAGTCAGGATTTTCTAAGAGAGAAGAGAAGACAGAGCGCCGCGTAGACTCTTAAATATCATACCGTAAAAATAAAACTCGTGGTGCGCGTTAGTTACCGCTCGCCTATCCGCACCGCGTATGGCCCACCAACGTATTTATACTACATGAATTATTGAAATCGGCTAACATATTCTTAGATATCTGCGGTATAAATCGTATTGAGTTACTCGCATGACTAAAGTAAATGCAATAATCTCGCGCGGCGAATACGTCAACTTTCATAACTAATACACCGAGCTTCGAATTAAGCATTTAAATATTTTTAGATTCGGAAAACACAATAAAAAATTCTAAAAGTACATAAATCTTTTGTTTCAATTCTAAAAAAAATAGAAACGAGTACCGCAACGCTTGTACTAACATTTAATTATTTCATACTCTTTAATCTCGGAATAACATTTTCATATTAATAGTAGATGAAATTGAGTTGAGAATGTTCCACTTGGACTAAATTTAGTAATAAAAGTCCAGAAAAAAAATGTACATTAGCAGATAGTGCTATATATGCTCTTGGTTAGAACTTCGTCCACAGATTTGCGGCACGCAAACGGCGCAACGCTATAATTACGCTTTCGCCGGCGGCAAATTAACCAGCGCACTTTCGACACAATGCGCACATGAGCGATTGTTGGAAAACGCGTGTACACGCGCACATGTGTACGTGCGTGTGTCGCAATTTTGCTCCACGCCCGTCTCGTGAATGCATAATTACATCGGCAGGCGAGCGTCTGTTGCAGTTTTCTTTCACGGCGGATATCGAACACGACCGCGCGTAAATTGGCACAGCGAGGATGAATGCGCGTTTTACGATTTCGCGGAAACAAGAAGGATCTACGACAAGCGGCGACTCTGCCAGAATTTCGTCTTTCCTTGACGAATTTCACGCATTCCCCGATTCGTCGCATCATTCGCGAACGAATCGTATCGCGGAATATATTTATAGCAAGCGTGTGAAATAATATCGTGCGTAGAAAGAGAATTATAGAACCGTAAATTCATATTTATAACAATATCACGCACAAACCGTATTCCTGGTCATAAATCAAATGTAAGTGATGTTACACAACATAATTATGATTTCGTTTATTTACGTAATTTGATAAAGATAAAATAAAGATAAAACTGTCCGTTTATTTGACACGAGTGATCATATTAAAGCTAATTCCCGCGCTTCCGCATTTCGCGCAACGGAATCTTCACTCGCGCGTCTGTTGCGATGCCAAAAATTTGTCACCCAAATATATGAATGCGCGTGTGTATGTATGTGTACGTCAACGTAAATGAGAGTAAGCTCACGATGTGCCAACGCTCGGAGAACGGACTTTCATAAAATAATGACGTCAATCGTAAAAAAGTCGTAAAACCTTCGTATCCAGTTAACGAAACGGTGCGATATATATCTTACGACCCTCCACGAACTCTCAATGGGATAAAATGTTACCAAAGTGTGCTCTAACAAAAGAATAGAAAAAAAACTATCAAAGGTTCCATATTTTTGCAAGTGTCTGAAAATTTCGACTTCGATTACCATAAATGGAGATTAAGGTTACATTTATGTCTCCTCGCGTTATCGATTGACATAATGTTGCACGCGTCGGAAACTCCACTTACGTAAATCGTCATTGATTTTTAAGTCCCTAAAATTTTTCTCGATCTCGACAGACAGCTTGCAATTTATTTTCTCGAAAGATTCTTTAAAATTGAATTCCACGAAGATGATTTCACTGAGTGCACTCAAGTTTCAATATTGCAAAATTGCGAGATTGTGCTCGCAAATTAAATGCACTTGCAAAACATGTATATTTTTCAACATTCGATCGAACCGAATTCGATTACCGAATAAAACGAAGTTTACGAATAGTTTACAAATTTCCGGAGAAACCCAGCAATGATGGAAAAAGAAGAATGGGAGGAAGATGTAGTGGGACGGAAAGGAGGCAGCCTGACGAGGTTTGTACTTTCTCGTAGATGACGTTTCTATTCCCGGGAATTCACCACGTTGTGTTCGGAACCATTTCTGCGCGCTGAGATCATTAGTGAGTCCTCCCGACACATCGGGCTATTTTCTTTATTTTCTTTTCTTCGCGAAGCGTTGCATAGTGTGGCCAATGTAAATCACGTAAAAAAAAAACAAAGAAATGTTCCTTTCACTATTATCTCTTGCAAGTTGTACGGTTTTAAAATCTTTATAGTGCAAAAATAAGCAGAAGCCAAATATTTATTATAATTTTAGAGTCCTTAGAAATCGTTTATAGATTTTTCAATAGCGAACGCTAATAAACGCTTTGTTACATTTTTATAATTCCAATTTTGTTCGAAGAAAACTTGTGTAACGCACGAAATGATCATTGAGGTGTTGGATTCAGTGACTCATCGCGTTTACATCACATTTCTCATCACTACGAAATTATGTTTACTACTAACTCATGATGAAACAGCACATCTTTCTATTAGTGTTTACGACCTTTCAACCGTGATAACCGGAAGAAACAGCACGTGAAAACGCCACGCCGTTAAGAAATGCAAAATAAATTCCCAGAAATCCGTTTCACAACCAACACGATCACATGTTAATGCTTTAAATACGTCGCAAATATCGTGTAAATACGGTATCGCCCATATTTAAACTTACGACAGTTTTCTCAGAAAATATAAAGGAACATTTGCTCTTTGCCTATATTTCTAGAAAAAAACTTGAATAAATATTTATAAATATTTGTATTATATTAGTTATTCAATAT